CCCCGCCATGCCTGAGGGGAAAAATAACAAAAATGAGATAAAATTACAGCAAAAATACCACAAAACCATCCTAAAAATACCCCCGCCATTCCTGAGGGGAARAATAACAAAAATGAGATAAAATTAACACAAAATTACACCAAAAATACCAGAGAAACACCCGGGCCATGCCTGAGGGGGAAAATGGACAAAAATAACCCAAAAATAACACAAAATTACCCCAAAATTTTCAAAAATCACACCAAAAACACCCCCGGCCGTGCCTGAGGAGAAAAAATAACAGAAATGAGATAAAATTAACCCAAAATTACACCAAAATTACCACAGAAACACCGCGGCCATGGCTGAGGGGGGAAAATGGACAAAAATGAGCTAAAATGACCCCAAATTCACCCCCGCAAAGCCCGGGGAAAAAAATTACCAAAAATCAGCGGAAATTACCTCAAAATCACCAAAAATTACCTCAAAATCACCCGAAATGACCCCAAATTTACCTCAAAATTACCCCAAATCAGCCGAAATGACGCCAAATTTACCTCAAAATTACCCCAAAATCACCCGAAATGACCCCAAATTTACCTCAAAATTACACAAAATCGGCCGAAATGACGCCAAATTTACCTCAAAATTAGCCAAAATCGGCCGAAATGACCCAAATTTACCTCAAAATTACCCAAAATCAGCCAAAATGACCCCAAATTCACCCCTGCAAAGTCTGGGGGAAAAAATTACCCAAAATCACCAAAAATTACCTCAAAATCACCAAAAATTACCTCAAAATTACCCGAAAATTACACAAAATCACCCGAAAATTACACAAAATCACCCGAAATGACCCCAAATTGACCCCAAATTTAACTCAAAATTACCCCAAAATCACCCAAAATCACCCGAAATGACCCCAAAATCACCTCAAATCCACCCAGCCCCCTCCCGATGACGTCACGCCCCTCCCGGTGACGTCACAGCCTCGTTCTGGGCCGGAGCGCGGCGGCGCCGCCGAGGGGGGGGGGGAAGAACGGAGATGAAGCGGCGCGCGGTGATGACGTCACGGAAAAGCGCCGGAAAAAAGGCGGAAGTAGCTGCGTCCCCTCCGCGTCGCGGGAAAGTGACGTCACAGCGGCCGCGACGGGAGCGGGAGGTACCGGGAGAAGGATTTGGGGGAAAATTTGGGGATTTTGGGGGGATTTGGGGGATTTGAGGAGGGGGAGGGGCTGGAGAGGGGTTGGGAGTGACCCGGGGGGGTCTCTCAGCTCAATTTTTCCATTCCCAGTGCTCCCAGTGCTCCCAGTTTGGAGCTGTCGCTGCTTTTGGGGTCTCTGGGGCTTCTCCAGTTCCCTTTTCTTTCCGTTTTTTCCCGTTTTTTTCCCATTTTTCCCCAGTTTCACCATGTCCCTGCTTTGGGGCTCTCTGGGGGTTCTTTAATTCCCTTTTTTTTTTCCCCCGTATTTTCTCTTTTTTTCCCCAATTTCTCCCCGTTTTTTTCCCATTTCCCCCCATTTTTTTGGTGTTTTTTCCTATTTTTCCCGTTTTCTCCCCAGTTTGACCATGTCTCTGGCCGATGAGCTCCTGGCTGATCTGGAGGAGTTTCCAATCCCATTTTTTTGGTGTTTTTTCCCTATTTTTCCCATTTTTTTTGGTGTTTTTTCCCATTTTTTCCCATTTTCCCATTTTTTCTCCCCAGTTTCACCATGTCTCTGGCCGATGAGCTCCTGGCCGATCTCGAGGAGGTTCCAATCCCATTTTCCCCATTTTTTCCCCATTTTTTTCCCGATTTTTCCCATTTTTTTTGTATTTTTTCTCCAATTTTGCCCGGTTTTTTGGTATTTTTTCCCATTTTTTCCCATTTTTTGGTGTTTTTCCCCCAGTTTGACCATGTCCCTGGCCGATGAGCTCCTGGCCGATCTGGAGGAGGTTCCAATCCCATTTTTTTTGTGTTTTTTCCCATTTTTTTGTGTTTTTCCCCATTTTTTTGGTGTTTTTTCCCTATTTTTCCCATTTTTTCCCATTTTTTTTGTGTTTTTTCCCATTTTCCCCATTTTTCTCCCCAGTTTGACCATGTCTCTGGCCGATGAGCTCCTGGCTAATCTGGAGGAGTTTCCAATCCCATTTTTTCTGTGTTTTTTCCCATTTTTTGGTGTTTTCTCCCCAGTTTGACCATGTCCCTGGCCGATCTCGAGTAGTTTCCAATCCCATTTTTTGGGTGTTTTTTTCCCATTTTTTGGTGTTTTTCCCCAGTTTGACCATGTCTCTGGCCGATGAGCTCCTGGCCGATCTCGAGGAGGTTCCAATGCCCATTTTTTCCCATTTTTTCCCATTTTTTGCTGTTTTCTCCCCAGTCTCACCATGTCTCTGGCCGATGAGCTCCTGGCCGATCTGGAGGAGGTTCCAATCCCATTTTTTTGGTGTTTTTTCCATGTTTTTTCCCATTTTTTTCATTTTTTCCCCATTTTTTCCCATTTTTTCCCATTTTTTGCTGTTTTCTCCCCAGTTTGACCATGTCTCTGGCCGATGAGCTCCTGGCTGATCTCGAGGAGGTTCCAATTCCCATTTTTCCCATTTTTTCCCATTTTTTTGTGTTTTTCCCCCAGTTTAAACGATGTCTCTGGCCGATGAGCTCCTGGCTGATCTGGAGGAGGTTCCAATCCCCGTTTTTTCTCATTTTTTTGGTGTTTTTTCCCATTTTTCCCATTTTTCTCCCCAGTTTGACCATGTCCCTGGCTGATGAGCTCCTGGCCGATCTCGAAGAGGCCGCGGGGGAGGAGGACGAGGCCGAAGGCTCCGAGGGGGGGGAGGAGCCCCCGATCGAGGACGTTCGGGAGGAGCCGGAGCCGCTCGAGGCGGCCGAGAGTGTGCGGAGCAT